TCTGCCGGGCACTCCTCAGGGCACTCCTCAGCTCCCCTGCCCTTGCTGAAGCACATGTACGTGGGAGTGGAGGGTGCCCCTGACTGTCGTGGGTGCAGCTCTGCTGATGCCCCATCCTCTTCCAGCAGCTGCCAGCAGTTACTGACTCACACCCCTCTCCCCCTGTGTGTTCCCTCTCCAGCTGGCTTCGGTGGCATCACTGGGCTGGGCAGCCTTGGGATGGGCTCTGCCAACTTCATGGAGCTCCAGCAGCAGATGCAGCGGCAGCTGATGTCCAACCCAGAGATGCTTTCTCAGATCATGGAGAACCCCTTGGTGCAGAACATGATGTCTAACCCCGATCTCATGAGACAGATGATCATGGCCAATCCCCAGATGCAGCAGCTCATGGAGCGGAATCCGGAGATAAGCCACATGCTGAATAACCCAGAGCTCATGAGGCAGGTGAGTCGGCGTGCTCAGGAGCACCCTGGTGCACCAGCTTCTGTGTCTGCTCCCAGAGGGAGCCTGTGAACCCCAGAGCTGTGATTTCAGACCTCTTCCTTCCTGCTGGAAGCTCTGCAAACAGGCAGCAGGCTTGTGTTCTGCAGCCACCGATTTCTCAGCCCACATACTTGCAACTCTTACCTCCCTTTCAGGGCTGTTGAATCCATCGTGTTTGGGGCAAAAAATGGATGCTGGGAACAGCCCAGTGTGCTGCTGTGTTCTGGTTCAGGAAGGGGAGTGAGGCAGCCACAGAGAGGCAAAGCTGCTGTGAAAGCTTCTTCTTTTTCTCTCTGTCTCTGGATGGATGAAGTACAGGCTGCAGAGCTGCACAGTTGGTATTTTACTACCTGTATCAGCAGCAAGCACTAGTCCTAGGCCAGGATTCCAGGAGTCTGGTTTGCTGTGCAGTCCCCATGCCCTGGAGGACTGGCTAGCTGGAAGACAGGAGGTTCATCAGGGGTGAGCAAGAGCCTGGGTGTTAAGCAGCCTGTGAGAGGCCTCAGCTGTTCCCCCAGGAAGATCTGTCAGGAGCTCTGCCCAGGTTGTTGCTGAACGGGCCTCGTTTCCATCTGCTGCTCAATTATCCTCCAACTGTGTTGTTCATACGTGGAATTCCAGAGCCTCTGAACGAGCTGTAAGCAGCTCCTCAAAAGAGATCTGGCTCTTCTTGTGCAGGGGAGAGCCACCAGAAGTCTGGAGAGGGTGGATTTCTTGGTTTTCATGAAGTGGGAAGGATCTAATCTCTTCCAGCTCGGTGTCAGTGCAGCCCATCTCCTCCGAGCAG